CTCTCTCTCTCTCTCTCTCTCTCTCTCTCTCTCTCTTTTCTTTCTCTTTCTCTTAGCAGGATCGGCATATTTTCGAGTTTCGTCGTTACGCGATTTTGAACGGCTGCCAATTTGCGCGTGCCCAAGTCGGTCTCTTGCAGACGGAGATTAAATTCCTCGACTATAATCGATGAAAGAGCTGAGAGCTCATCTCGCGAGGAATATTCTAATTAGCATGCATGACCAAGAATAAAGAATCAAACATATTTTTCAAAGAAGAATTTCTAAACGTTCAGAGAGAAACTGCTGAGCTAGTTTCGTTAAATCTATTTTGTTGTTAATTGTTACGTGGATATAAATATTCTCTTTCAATATTATTTTTTATAAATAATGATAAATCGGGACACTTTATATACGCAAATATCATATAGTCTCTTTTATAGATGATTTAATAAAAGATTTTTATATACTTATCTATAGAGAGAGAGAGAGAGAGAGAGAGAGAGAGAGAGAGAGAGAGAAAGAGAGGGAGAGAGAGAGAGAATATACAGGGAAGATATTTTATATAGAGAAAAAATTGTGAAGTCGGAAAAATTTCATTATAAATTCATTTTGTTAATTATTATTTAGGTATAAATATTTTCATCTAATATTATTATTTAATAATATTATTGTTATTTAAAGTTGAGAGACATTTAATATAGAAATAATGACCAATGTGTGACTCTCAGTTTAGTTCTCAGTTAATTATTTCTACTTCAGCAAATTTTGTATTTCAATATTTTACATAACTTCTTTTATTTATATGGGAACCGTAATCTTATTTATATTCGGATCAACGTTAAGTGCGTAAAGGAAAGGTCGTATAAATTCGACTTCAATTCGTAATATACAGAAAAAAAGTTTTGGTTAAATTAACCAAATATCTGGTCGAACATGAACGATCCAGAAATTCCGATTGAAATAATCCGAATTCTGTTTAAGTTAACAAGATTTTTGGTTAACTTAATCAGAATTCGGGTTAATCAGAATTTCTGGATTGTTCATATTCGACCAGATATTTGCTTAATTCAACCAAACCTTTTTTTCCGTATAGATCTCCAGTTAAAATTTGAATTTTCTTTCTCGAATAATCTCTCGACTCGTTCCATTTAGAAGAGGACAACGCGCCGCAGAGGAGCCACGGAGAACCGAAGGAACAAGAAGACGACAGCGACGAGGAATTCACGGAGACTTACGACTACATCGAGGAAATTGCGTGCTTGGAACGGAAGACGTCGTCGAGGTCAACGCCGCAAGTGATCGAGCCCAGCGACGACGAAGGGGAAATGGAGGACGAGGAGGAAGCCGAAACGAAGGAGATGGACGGGATGATTTCTGTGAAGAGCGAGGAGGGAAGTAGAGTAAAGAAATTCATCGTCTCTTACGAGACCAAGCTGTTGAAGACGCCCAGCCCGACGCCGTCGCACGGTAAATGTCAACGTTATTTTACGCTTATATATATATATATATATATATATATATATATATATATATATATATATATATA